ACCCTGTAGTATGTTGCAGAACCTACACATCTCTCGTGTGCTTTAATCTTCCTTCTGTGACTGGCAACACCCACTACATCAGAAAGCTGTATGTGAAGGGTTAATGTACTATTGACCAGAGAAAAGTCCCCACATGTTTACCAAGGGTAAAATTGTATCGTAAAATGTTCTATTTTGTTTTGTTTTTTAGAGGCAGGGTTTTTTTTTTTTCCTTTGTAACCTGATTGTGCTGGAACTCACTCTGTAGACCAGGCCTGATCAGAGATTCTCCTGCCTCTGCTTCCTTAATGCTGGGATTAAAGATGTTTGCCACCACCCCCAGCATCTCAAAATATTTTCAATGGACTAGAGAGATGGCTCAAACTTTAAAGCACTGCACAAGCGTGAAGACGTGAGTTTGGTCCCCTGCAACCATAGAGAAAGTCAGGCATTTAGGTTGTTTCACCCGAAGAATGAAAAAGGAAAATGTGGTACATTTACACAATGGAGTACTACACAGCAGAAAAAAATAATGACATCTTGAAATTTGCAGGAAAATGGATGGAGCTAGAAAACATCATTTTGAGTGAGGTAACTCAGACACAGAAAGACAATTTCTGTCTTTCTGTACTCACTCATAAGTGGTTTTTAAACATACTAAAGCAAAGAAAACCAACCCACAAATCACAAATCTCAGAGAATTTAGACAACAATGAGGACACTAAGAGAGACTTACATGGGAAGTAGAAAAAGACAAGATCTCCTGAGTAAATTGGGAGCATGGAGACCTTCGGGGAGGGTTGAGGGGGAGGGGAGAGGCAGGGAGGGGAGCAGAGGAAAATGTAGAGCTCAATAAAAATCAATAAAAAAAGGAAAGAAAAAAATAGACATACAATTTTAAAAAAAAAAAAGTCAGGTAAAGAGGCATTTGTCTGTAATGCCAGCTCTGGGGAGGGGTAGATAGGAAAATCTCTGGTGTTTTCCAGGCAGCCAGTGTAGCCTATAAGACAGCTTCAGGCCCAGTGAGAGACCCTGTCTCAAAAACTAAGGTGCAGAATAATTGAAGAAACCCAACATCAGCCTCTGGCTTACACACATGCATGTGTGCTATGACTGGAAAGCCCCTGGATACGGAAGGCCAACTGCAATTTAAATTGTTCATGTTCCTTTCCTCACAACAACATTAAATTAGCGAGTACGAGACACTCCGATTGGTCAAGACATGAAGCAGTGAAGAAGAAACCTTGCATCCTGACTCCTTTACCCTTTTAGAGCAAGGAGCAGCTCAGTCGGCTTCCTGTCCCACAATAAAGCGCTGGAGGTAATCAGTCCCTAAGCAGAAGAAGTTTATCTCGACTTGCAGTTTAAAGGTTTCAGTGCAGTCCCTTGGCTCTGTCTTTTTTTTGGGGGGGGGGTAGCACACATCACGGTGGAGACCCATGGCAAGCAGAAGAAGGCTGCGCAAAATAAAGAGAGATGAAGGGCAGGAGTCCCCCCTGAAACTCCTCTTGCTTTGCTCTGTGCCCCAGGCTTTCCTCAGCCTGCCCTGGACATCCTGCATCGTGCAGCATGAGGGTTTGTTCCTGTGTTCTTGTAGAGCTCAGGGTTTTGGGACTCCAAAGGCTAGTCATAGCTGGGCTCCCAGGGCCACCTTGACCTCCTTGGGAAGACAGTATCCTGGGCAGTATGGTGCCTTCAATGGCGCTGCCCTGCAATGAAAAGAACCTTGTACAACATGGTCTTGACTGACAGACTGGTCTATGCAGCTCACCTGAACTCCGGGGCATCACAGGCCAGATGACTGCCCCATGAGGTCAATCCACACTGTTTAGATGATTCTGAGAAACTGAGGAAAAGGGACACAACCCCAGACCTCTGCTGCAGCCTGGGGCCCAGTACATATCCCTCTGACACTACTACGCAAGAGGCACATCGGCTGTCTGGAAGACAGGATCCACCAGAGACTGGGCTCTCAGGTGGGGTGGCACGTGACACACCCCATTCCTAACACAGAGGGTGGTGCCAGTGAAGATTCCCTGGACGTGTGGCTGGAGACCTGAGTTCATAGGATATTCAACCTTGGCGACCTCCCTGACCTATTTTGGGGTCCTCGTGTGTCAGTGACTACTCCCCGACATACACACAATGTGGAGAGACAGATTTAGGAGAAAGTGATTTTTGAGCCAGAGTCCAGAGAAATCTTCCCAGGATCACACACTAGTGCTTCCTGGATCCCAGGTCCTTGGATTGCCCTCTGCTTCCTCACTTACCCCCGCTAGGGTAAACATAACATTGATTGTGACTGTGGATGGTAACCATTCTGAGGCACTATTCCACCTGGTCCTGTGGTCGGGACCTCCAAGAGGCTATCCCTGCCCCCATTCCCCAAACTGATCCAGATCACCTTCTGCCTGGAATGGGCGGCTCTCCTTCCAGAAGTTCTACCGTTCCCCACCCCCCACTCCAGCAGAGCCTAGGGCAAGCCAGGGGCTCTGTCCAGGAGGTACTCTGCCTAGTCTAGGTTTGTTCATCCAGAATACCAAATGTTGGGGGTGTGCTCCCCAGGTCAGCTTCAGGGCCACCACTCCTGACTACTCAGATGAATGAAAGCCCAGGGCCAGAGTCCCGTTTACCTGCCATGATCAAGTTCTGTGGCTTCGGGCACTTAATCAGTGGGGATTGGTGTTCCGTAACTGACAGCTCAAGGGACCTTCTGACCAGAGCAGCAGCTCAGGTGACTCACCTGTTGTCTGGCAGCTTGTAAACAGACCTTTTACTCTCTACAGTGGCCGCATGGGGATGAGTTTGGGTAATGAATTAGTTGATGACCACACCTCCTATCATGAGGCAGGTTATTGGCACAGGGCAGTACACTGCCAAAGAGAGCGCCACTCTTGTCCCTCGGGCATCTGTGGAAAACAGTCCCATCTGTGGAAAACACAGGGCCAGGGACTCCAAACACCATGCCTGGGACAGATTGCTTCCAAGAGGCTTAAGAGATCTATGCAGCAAGTTTTGTGTATGGACATGGGATGGACCCCGGTTCTACAGGTCAGAGAGAGAATGGTGTCACTGGCTGGCAAGCTGCACTTTCATCACTGTGATAAAAAGCCACTGGAGTTTCCTTAGGCATGGAAATCATACAATCTGGAGGTGCTTCAAAACTGCGTGGAGTCAGGAAGCAGGGCGGGGCGGCAGTAGCCTCTTTAAGCCGTAACCTGGTTGTGGGCTTAAGCAAAGCTTTCACCTGGCTCCCCACGATCTGGTACATGCCTCTTGCCAATAGGCTTGTCTGCAGCAGAAGGCAAGTTCCCTGAGGCTGGCGTTTCTATCTGGCACACCGAACACACCCTCAGTTCACGAAGCAGAAAAGTTTCTCTGTGCCTGCGTTGTGTATGCGCCTTCATTGGTGCATGAAGATCAGAGCATCAGGCACTGGTCCTCACCTTCCACCTTGACATGCGGGGTTCTTGTTTTTCTGCTGTGTGCACCAGTATGGCTGGCCTGGACACTTCCAGAGATTGCCCTGCCTCTGCCTCCCATCTCCCCATAGGAGCTCTTGAGTTGCAGGTGTGCTGTGAGCCCCGTTTCTATGCGAATCCTGGGGATTTAAATTCAGGCCCTCACACTTGCCCAGCAAGCTCTTTCACCCACTGAGCCATCTGTCCTGCCTCCCCCGCCCCCACCCCTCTGAGCTCAGACTGGCCTGAAACAACCATCCTCCTGTCTCAGTCTAAGTGTTGAGACTACAGCTGTGAGCCAATAAAAACTGCTTAATGAAGACTTCAGATACACTATAATATTACAGGAGCAAACCGTTAACGTCACCAGGGATTCGTGTACACAGGGTGGCTTATGCTTCCAGTTACACCCCACCTTTCCACAAATCACTTTGAGATACGGAAAAGAAAGCAGGAGCCAGGTCCCCTGGCTCAGTAAAGACACTGGCTGACAATGGGCTCCTGAGAAAAGGATGACTCTCCCACAGTGGCCATGACATGTCTCATGTTGTCCACCAAGACAGGGCCACTCAGTCCTGCGGCCCCAAGCTGTAGCTGGGCTGCCCCCAACTGAGCCTGATCCCCATCACAGCAGCTGACAAACTTTGACCCTAGCTCTAAGGTTCTGGGTCCTATGGGGCAGAAGGGACCCTGTCGTTATACTGAGACAGATGAACTCCTTGTATACAGCCTTCTGTACCACAGGTACATGGAAGACATCTGCTCCGTGGCACAGCCCTTCCTGCTTCTCACAGCTCCAACGGTTTTGCTCCAAACCACTCCCTCCTGAAGGGGTGCTTGAAGAACCCTAAAACCACCTGGGGATCCCCTCTGCCCCTCCCAAACCACTGCAATAAAAGGGAGCTTTGGACACTCGGAGACTTCAAAGCTGCAGAGGTTCAGGGTCAAAGGTGGAGCTGGGTAATATCTCAGCAATCACAGCCTGGTTCCCTGGGCTAAGGAACGTGGGTGGGGATTCTTTGGGAAGCTTCCAGATCTTCCTTGAGGGATCTATCCACTAGTTCTAGTAGCCAGCACAGGGGCCCAGCACATGCTGGCTGCAAGCTCAAGGACATGTTTTCCATCCCCTCCTCTAAAACCTGGAAGGTTTAAATTCAGCACAATTTGCAAGTTAGGCAATTTGCCAAGGGCCACCCAGCAGGGTAAGGAAGAAAGAGACCTGGGCCTAGAGATGCCCACAGTTCAGAGATGGGAAGTAAATGGTTCACAAACATCAAACTTCCCTCAGTCTAGCACCCTGTACTTGCCCCTCTCACACAGACCCTTCCTAGGGGCAAGCAGCTCTGCAGGGCAGACACTGGCTCACAGACAACCTGCACAAAAGCCCTTGTCCTCCAAGGTGTCTGAACTGCTTTGCCATCTGTGGAGAGATGCCTAGAGTTGGCACTCACACTCATGCATCAGCTCATGCAATGTGGGGCTCAAGAGAAATCTCAGACACTTCCACCCAGGCCTAGCCCTCACCTAGGAAACAGGGACGAGACGGTAGAAGGCACTGCAAACACCAACAAAAAACAACTTTATAGAATAGTACACTTTACAAGAGCGGGTACACTTTCCCACGCTGGCCAAACATCAGCGCCAGGCTGGGCTTCAGAAGAGGAAAAGTGCAGTCAGGCATCTTGCCCTCCGGACCTGACTGGTCCAAACTTTGGCCAGGTTGGAAAGTTCTAGACAGTGGGGGTGAGGGGTAGAGTCAATCTTTATTGTGCTCCAAGCCTAAGGGTCCTTTGTACAAAAATAAGTCTTCATATTTTCGGTAGAGTCCCTCCAGCAGTTCAAGTTAATTTGTAAAAAATAGATTGTCATTGTAAAATCCTCTCTCCTGAGAAATCGCCAAGTCCTAGTGCTACACAGACTGGGAGATGGAAGGTGTCATTCCGAGGGGTGGAGGCCGAGCAGAGGTCAGCTCTTGGCTTTTGGTCAAGCTGCACTATACAGCATGGGCAAGGCATCGCGCCAGGCTTCGTGGGCAAGTAACGCGGATCTGTCCACCAGGAGACAATCAGAGATGCGGCTGTGAATGGGACAGAACGCGTTAATGTGTGTGGACACCGCCCCACCTCCCAAGGCGCAGCAGGTAGTTTCGTTTGCTTGGTTAGTTTTGGAGTCTCAGTGGGTGCCTCGATCCGCTCGGAGGCGCCGACGGGGGCGGGGCGCACGCTCAGAGACGGCCCGCGGTGACTCAGGGGCCCGCTCCCGCCGACTCATTCAGCACCCCGGCCCAGGACGCGATTTGCAATGCAAACTCACCCCGCCTCCAGCACTCGACTCGGCCGGGCTCCGCCAGTACTGGGACCTCGCCGGCCCGGCCCTGAGGCCGCTCCCCTCCTCTATCCTCCCCCTCCCCCAGCCGCAGCAGAGCCCAGAGAGGAAGTTTTGCAATCCCGGACAAACAAACGCTGGTCTTGCTCAGGCTTGAAAAAGGTTGAGGAAAAATGAAGCCTGCGCGAAATCGAAGTGATCGCCCCAGCCGATCACTGGCTGCACTAGGTCCCCGTGGCGCAAAGTGCCAGGCCCGCCCACCACGTGTCTCCTTTACTGCCTTTCCTCCCCGGGGCCCTGGAATTTACCTTTGAGGGGTTGGGTGCTCAGTAGCCCCCTAACCAGCTGGAAAAGTCAAGCAGCTCGCGCTCCACGGGACTCAGTTCTCCCTCGCAGCCACTGTCCTCCGACGAGTAGGCGGAGCGCGGGGAGCCAGGCTCCGAGCTGCCCCGGCGGTCGGGGGATGAAGACGCGCAGGACAGCGACGCACTGGCAGGGGAGGCAGAAGGAGGCGCGCGAGCGGCCGAGGGTCGAGTGGCCGGTGTTAACAGCCCTCCCGCAAGCGCGGCGCGCACCGCGTCGTGCTCTGCAAGCAGCCGCTGCAGCGCACGAATGTATTCTACGGCTGAGCGCAGCGTCTCCACCTTACTCAGCTTCTTGCTGGCGCCGCCGTGCGGCACGTGCTGCCGCAGCGCCTGGAAGCCCAAGTTTACCAGCTTCACGCGGTTGCGTTCGCGCTCGTTGCGGCGTGCCACGGCCGCCGAGCCGCCCCCAGCCTCGGTTGCGCCAGATCGCCGCCGGCGGCTGCAGCGCAGCAGTTCCGGGGATGAGGGTCTCCGCCGAGCAGCGCAGGTTCCAGCGACTCCAGGCGAGGCGGGCATGAGTCGGGGCAGCGCGCAGCCGTCCATCAAGCTCGCATCCAGCCCTCGGGCGCCTGCTAGGAGTTTCGGAGCGCTACAGAAAAAGTGCCCGCGAGGAACCGGGTGCGGTGGGAAGCAAACGGTCTCACCTCCGCTGGTCTCAGGCAGGGAACTGCTGCAGGATTTCCTGGGGGCACGCGTCGCTGGCCTTCTGGAGTCCTGGGACCCCGTGTCGTACAAGGGCTGAAAGTAGGGAAGCGTGGTACGCTCGTGTCCCGCGCGTGCGGTCAGACCTCCCCTGGTCTCCTTGTGCACGGCTCAGGCGGCTCCTTTTAAAATGTATAGATAACCCTCCTCCGCGGGCCGCCGCCTCCTTTCTCACGCCCTCCTTCTTTCGCCTCGCCCTCCCGCCACGCTTCACCCTCCCCCTGGCGTACACATTCTGCAAAGCTGACACCGCGCGACCCCACCCCCACCCCTCCGGGGTGCAGTTCGCAGGCTCCTGCGCCCCCACGCTCTGGGCAGGTGCTTAGTGCATCCACGACAAGTACTAGAGTGCAGATCCCGGACTGCGCTTCTAAAGTCCCACGCCTCCTGGGCCTGTCAGAGGGTCGAGTGTACTCTACAAGCACCCCTACCCACCCTAGTACTCAGCACTCAAGCCCCAATAGCTGCCAGGTCTCTGCACACCTAGAGCGCGCGACCAGGTGACGAACCCGACGAGGCTTTGCAGTAGTCAAGAAGTAAGTGAGCGCGAACCCCCACATACACCTCCACCCCCGGCACACGCGCCACGAGCCCGCTCCCACGTCCCTCCCCCCAGCCCCCGGCGGAGGAGGCGGGAGCCGGAGTCTCAGCCAATCTGGGATCGTCCCTTTGGCCAATGACAGCTGGCGCGGTCCTATGCTGGGTCAGGAAGAAGCGTACGCCTGGCGCGTGGCTCCAGAGATGGGGAGTGTCTTGAACAAAGCTCCACGCCCACTCCGCCCCACCCTGCTCCTCCTCCCGGACCCGGGTGTCCACGTACTGCTGGTACACACCTGTCCCACTCTGACTCTTGAGAAGTGGTTCAGACCTGTGCTGGGAAATTTCATGTTCCCCAGGCATCTTGTCCCGGTTCAGTCCCTCATGCACACCCCATGTCTCCGTGGTTTCAAGGAGCCTCAGGACTCGGTGCTATGACCTGAGGGGATGCAATCAAGCCAACTCTGACCCCTCCTTTCTCACACGCTCTCTCATATGCATCTTACAACCAGCTCTCCAAGTCTGGGTCTCTTTTCCCGACTATGTCTCCTAAATCCAGCCAGACTAGTTCTCGTTCAGTTCCTGGGCTTTTTGCTCAACGACACTTCTCAGGATTCCAGCGGGCCTCTCAGTCCCATCCCTCCCCTAAGGCCGGTGGAGGGAGAGTCGAGGGGCAGGGAAATGCATTGATCTTGGAAAAGTCTTAGTCCTGCCCCCTCTGTCCCGGAACTGTGCCCTTGGGGATCATAGCAAGTCCAGTTTTCCCCAAAATGACTAGGTGCTCTTGAGCCAAGATCTACAGTGCTGAAGTGGTCTATTCGGCGGGTCTGGGTACCTGGATATGGATATATATGATTGAGGGAGGACAACCGGATCCAGGACTTTTCTCTGCTTCCGCCCTCCCAGGGAGCGTTTGCCACCGGTGTGGTGGCTGCCTGCTGACTCCTTTACTCTCCAGGATCCATCGGAGCTATATCTACCTAAACTTCTAAACTAGCTTTTTGACCATGCTGTGGAAGGTGAGCTGTGAGTCTCAGCTTCCTGGGTGCCTGCTCAGAGCCCCTGAATGAGTCAAGTCATTTCTCAGCCTTGTGGAGCAATCCAAGTAGAAACGGAAGCAAAAAGTGGGCTGGAGAGATTGTTCAGTGGGTAAGGAGCTTGCTGTGCAAGTGTAAGAATCTCAGTTAAAATCCTCAGAACCCTTATAAAGCCACGATGGGAAGCAGAGGACAGAAGAATCCCCGTGAATTCCCGGGCCAACTAGCCCCACGAATGCAAACTGAACAACAGACTCTAACCTGAAACAGACTGGAAGGGGAGGACCAACACCTGAGATATCCTCCAAATTCCACACGCGTCGTTGTGTCCACTCTCACACACAAAAGCATGCACACACATACAAAATAAATGTAAACAGATTGTATCCTGGCTCCTTGACAAGCCTTGATCTGCAGACCTTCTCTGTTTAGAGGTCACTGTTGTCCTGCTTGCCTCTCTGCTTTTCCCTGAGATTTTTTGTTGTTTGTTTCTGTTTTGTTTTTACTTTCCCTTCATGGTGTGTGTGTGGGGGGATAGGCCTCCTGTAGCCTAGACTAGTCCTGAGTTCCCTATGTAGCTAAGGATAGCCTTGAACTTCAGAACTGTTCATCCTCTTTCTAATATCTCCAGCATGCTGGGTTTACAGGCTTGTACCACCATACCCATTATATGTGATGCTGGGGATTGAACCCAGAGCTCTGTACATGGTGCATGCTAGACAGTCTAGCAACTGAGCCACATCCCCAGACCCCTTCCCCGGTTAAAAAAAATAAAATATATTTATTTATTATTGTATGTGTATTAGTGTTTGTCTGCATGTATGTGCAACATGTCCATGCCTGGTGCCCACAGAGGTCAGAAGAAAGTGTCAGATTCCTTCTTGGCAAGCTCAAAATGATGAGAGATGCCCTTCACTCTATGAAGGCTGCAGAGCAAGGGTGGTGATAGTCCCTGGGCCCTGCCCTGGTGGTGAAGGTCCACACGGGTTATTATTTCTTGAGACTCTGTGGGACTGTAGCCATCGCTCTGCTGGTTTGTTCAAACTTTATTCACTTTGGGACTGTGGAGGACAGGAGCTTGTCCTAGTCATCAACCTGGCCTTTGATTAGATTTTTTAGTTAAAATTTAATTTTTTGAGACTTTCATATATGAGAGATGTAATTACATCATTTCCATCCCTTCCTCTTCCCATTCCAAATCCTCCCTTGTCCACCCCACTCCCTCCCAAATCATGACCTCTTCTTATTTATTAGTTTTATACATCTATGCACACCCTACTAAATCCATAATGTTGTTCATATGTGTTTAGGACTGGCCACTTGGAATTGGATGACCTATCAGGGAGTTCACCCCTGGAGAAAACAGATTCTCCCACCTACAGAATCTTAACTGGCTGTAGTTTGTCTGCTAGGGGTAGAGCCCTGTGAAAGTTCCCCCCATTCACACTGGCTTCTGTCCATTGGTGATGTCATTTTTTCAGATCTTGTATAGTCAGCCATATGGTTGAGATTTCCTGGGTGTAGCTTCCCGGTCGTATATAGAAGACACAATCTAGAAGCATACTTCCTAATCCTCTGACTCTTACAATCTTTCTGCCCCTTCTTCCTCCAAGTTTCCTGAGTCTTCCATATAGAGATGGTTTTATGAATGTGACAGCTGGGGTGGGCAAGCCACAGTCAGTTTTTGTGGATTTCGGTAATGGTCTTTGTCTGCCATAAAAAGAAGCTTTTTTTTTTTTGATGAGATCTAAGAGTTATATATTTAACCTGCAGACACAAGGGTAAATATTTAGTATGTGGCTAGTGATTTCACTGGTTTAAGAAAGAAAGTGCCTGTGGTAGGCTCTCTTCTTGTATATATGACCTCACCAGCCACGGGTAGTTGGCTAGGTTTATAGGACCAGGTATGAGTTCCCTCCTACTGATCAAGCCACAAATCCAATTAGGCAGTTGTTGTTACTACTAGGATGTGTCATGGGGCAGGAGAGATGGGTTAGTGGTTAAGAGCGCTGGGTGCTCTTCCAAAGGACCCCGATTCAATTCCCAGCACCCACATGGCAGCTCACAACTGTCTGTAACTCCAGGATCTTACACTCTCACACAGACATACATGCAGGTCAAACACCAATGCACATAAGATAAAAATAAAATAGCCAGGAGGTGGTGGCGCATGTCTTTAATCCCAGCACTCAGAAGGCAGAGGCAGGTGGATCTCTGTGAGTTCGAAGCCAGCCTGGTCTACAAGAGCTAGTTCCAGGACAGGCTCAAAAAGAAAGAAAGAAAAAAGCCACAGAGAAACCCTGTCTCGGAAAACAAAAAGAAAATATAATAAAATAAAATATTTTAAAAAGATGTGCCACTATTGCACATTTAAGGATCTCTTGCTGGGCTGGCTGTTGTTGTTCATAGTTTTATAGCTTCTTTATCTAGCTCACTCTCCACAGCTCGTTTCTGGCTCTCAGGAGCAGAGTTTGCAAGACTCCTTAAGACCCAGGACTTGACTTCTAGGAGTCTCTGTTGAAACTTAAAATCCTTTCTGAGGTCCTACCATGTTTCCTTCCTCCCAGGCTGCACCTGCCCTACTTTGTAACTCATCTTTCTCTGCCTCTCCCAGCACCCGAATAATAACATGGAGACTTCTTACTAGTTACGAAAGCTTGGCCTTAGCTCGGGCTCAGTCTCAACTAGCACTTAAAACTTAGCCCATTTCTATTGATCTACATTCTACCACGTTTTTTTACATCTCTCCTGGCATCTCTCTCATGCCTAGATTCATCTCCTACTTCCTCTCTCTTCCTCTCTCTCTCCCCATCTGTCCCCCCCCCACACTCTGGAAGTAGTCCCTCTTATACCTCCTGCCTGTCTATTGGCCATTCAGCTCTTTATTAAGCCAATCACCGCAGTACATCATCACACAGTGTACAAAGAACACGACTTCTATCAAGCCAGTGTCTCATCCCAACCAGCACCTTTCCCACCTCTGCCACCCCACCTCCACCCTGGCCCTCTCACTTTCTGCAAGCTCACCCTGTCCTGCTCAGCCTAAAGGTGATGGTTCCCTAGGGATTGGCGTCTTCCTAGGAGTCCTCTTCTTTTCTTAACCTCACTTACCCACAACCTCTGACCTCTGACTTCTAGTCTTCGACATGGGGCTGTTCCCTTGCTCTGGAAGTAGTTCTCTCCTGGACCTGTGAGTCTCATGTGTCTCTCTTGTAGACCTTGGACCCTGGTTCTGTCTTTATTCATGTAGTCTCCATGTGGCTATTTTGAAACATCTGGATGGATAAAGCGTGAGCTGACCCGAGAAGGGAATATCAATTAAACATGAGAAGAGATAGAACAGCGGTAGGCGCCATGGTGTTGGTAGAGATGAGTGAGCAAAAGAAGGCAAAATCAAAAGACTACAGGATTATATGACTTCATTTACAAGAAATGTCCAGCATAGGACAATTCCAAGAGACAGGAATAGATACAGGGACAAGAATGAGAGGGAGGTAGTGGCTACAGAGTATGGATTTCCTTTTCATCACACCATTCTAAGGAGGGAAATGGCTCAGCAGATAAAGTGCTTGCCATGCAAGCACAGAGGCCTGAACCCACGTGAAGCCTAGCATGACAGTGCATTCCCGTAATCTCAGCCTTGCTCTGATGAGCTGGGAGATGGACAGGAGAATCACAGGAGGCTTGAGGCTTAGAATACACACTTGTTAACCATGAAGAAACCTTGACTCAGAAAGATAGAAGTCGAGGACTGACACTCGAGAATCTGATCTCCACATGTGCTATGGCACACACATGCACACAGGCTGACTATGCTGAAGTTTACGTGTTGTGCTTGAATGGTTCAGTGAAGGGTTTGGTGCATGACTATGCTCACAAAACAGCTGGAAGGCTCTGATATGGCCTGTGCCCTGCCTGTCCCTTGATGCCTCTCTTTTGTAGGGGTCTTTTAATCCTGGCTTGTGGGACTCTCTTGGGTCTTCATCCTTGAGCTCTCAGCTTTTTCAGACA